AAAAACGGCAAAGTCACTGTAGCACTATCAAAGCAAAGCCTTCAGCAGACCCAACAGATTAAAATAACATTCTTGTTACTAAATTTTTTGTTAAATACAATAATACAACATGAACAAGCCAGCGGTTTATGTTAACTTCAACACGTTGCAGAAAAACGATGCAACTTATACGCTCGACAACTACATCAAGTACTTGAAATGGAATCCGAACAAAACTGAAAAAGTGCTGGAGATCGGCTGCGGTCCAGGAGATGTGACGAAGGACATCCTGGTGCCCGCCTTACCGGGAAACGTCGAGGAATTGGTATGCCTCGACCGATCCGAAGAAATGATTAACTTTGCGAAAAATAACTCCAAACATGACAAAATCAAATATATGCAAATGGACATTTCTAATGACGATTTAACCAATGTGTTAGGGAAGAATACTTTCGATCATGTCTTCTCGTTCTACTGTCTCAATTGGGTGCAAGACCAAAGGTAAGAAGTTCAGATTTATCATTATTATTAAATAATAAATTACGATATTTAAATAAATGTTAGATTAAAAGTAACCACAAATATTTTGAAATTCTTAGGGAAAATTTTTATTTAAATAACAGAATAAAAATTACCCCTCTTACTTCTTTTTTCCATTATTGAATAAAAATAAGCAATAAAACGTTTTAAGCTACTAAATACTCCTACTACAATCATTTGGGGTTTTAATACTGTACAGGATATTTTATTCGTAAATTTCTGCAGTAAATAATAAAATCAAACGTTAAATTTTCTCAGAATTTGCAATTTTAAAGTATTACAGTACTTGTGACGGAATAAATACTTTTAAGTTATTAGTAAGTAATTTATTAAAATACCAGACGTAGATAGCGTTTTCGAACGAATTAGTTCCCATCAGCGCGCCATTAGCAGTTTCGATAAAATATTGAGATACTACAGTTAGCAGCAAATATCAATAGTGGAATGTTTGTGTATTTTCAGAAAAGCGTATAAAAACATTTACGACGTCCTAAAACCCGGTGGGGACGCTCTTGTCCTATTGAATGCCTACCATCCCGTATTCGAAGTGTATCACTGGCTTGCGCAGCAGGAAAAATATCATCTGTACCACAAAGAAACGGACAACTTCGTTTCCCCTTATTTCACAAAGAAACATCCCAAACAAGACCTGGAAGATATTCTAACGGATTTAGGTTTCATTATCCATGCTTGCGAATATAAGCCCCTAGACTTCGTATTCCCAAATGAATCCTATATTAAAGGTAAGCAAACAAAATTGCTTTTTCCCAAAATTAACCGACAAGATAACGAAATAATTTTTCTTTTGCTGACAAACCACAATTTACATTTTATAAATAGTTTATTATCTATCAATCAATGAAAAAAATCAAGAAATAAAAATATGGTCAAGTTTCAAATCACAGACTAAATAGATAATAATACTACCCCTGATAATTACAGATGACAGATCGAAAGGAAACTGCTGAATTAACAATTACAATTAAATTACCAAAAATAATAAGCCACCAATATCTGTTATATACTGATAAATTTGCTATACTAATCGTGGTTGACTAGTATGAAAACCCACTAAGGGCATTTCTACATTCCAAACATGAATTCAAGTANTGTTTAAGCGAAAAGCAGCCGATTTTTCCAAATCCTAGAATTATCCTTCAATGACTTCAAAGCAACGGTCGCAACCATCATATGTGTGTAAAAGAATTATATACACTGTTAGGATTACTAATTTAATTTGATCTAAAATTGCGGCCGTTTTTGCAGGCGGTCATAAATCATCTTTATGTGTGCCGAACGGCTAATATACTTGTGCTCGTCGGCTCGGTGCGTTAGTACGTAACTAAAAAGAAGTTTTTAATAAAGGTAGTATATGAAGAAGTACAAAATATTCGTAGCAGGTAATACTTCTAGGAATACAAAATTATTGGTTTGCTTCCCCCATCCCGATTCTGTATCCGTTTGCGTAGAATATGACTATCGACGGATTTTACAAAATACGCACTTCAGTTCCGGAATGTTCGTTTAGGAGACATAAATTGCCGATAAATTTTATTCAGTCCCGATTTTTCCTTAGAGACGATCCATTGTACCCTTTTACGGTCTCAGATTGCTTTGGGACGAGCTTTCCGCCACGTCGGCAATCTGTTCAATTCAACCGGCTCCCAATCGCTCAAGCTCAACCTTTAAAAAAAAAATTCACCTAAAATACTCCAGTTGCTGCCGTGTTCCTTCTTCCGGGTGTTTACAAAATAAAAATTTTCATATTCTACGAAATCAATCTTGTACCTATCTGACGTTCCTTATAAGCCACTGTGCTTTGATTAAGACTTATTATGGCTCGGTTTGACGCCTTATATATGAAAAATTTAGGCACCCCTGCTTAAGTCAAAAAGAGTTCAACAACACATTAATACGTTGTTCACTCATAATATGATACATTCGTTCAAAAGAATTTAATAAAAACGTTATAGACAAACTGTAGAAATTCATTCCATAACCTACAGAAAATGTACAATAAGAAATTACATTTCGAATCTTTTTTAANTATAAATTAACAGTGTTATAATTTGTTATACATATACATTAACAAAATTAGATCGTAAGTAGATACCACATTGAAATGACGAAATATCAATGCCGATTGAGATGCTGCAAAATTTTCCACTTTATTTTCAATGTCAAACCTATACCTACATAACTACATATGTTAGGATCTCAACTACGGGCATGACTTGCTGTTTTTATCTAAACTGAAAACTACACTTGTGTTCTCCCTTCTCCCCGGATGACCGATTGTACGCTTACAATCAGAAATCAACCACGTGAAAGCACCAATATAATCTAAAGATAAAACACACTTTTCGCAATTTCCCACACTTCTGTTCGTAGATGCCTAATTTTATATAAAAACGGCAAAGTCACTGTAGCACAATCAAAGCAAAGCCTTCAGCAGACCCAACAGATTAAAATAACATTCTTGTTACTAAATTTTTTGTTAAATACAATAATACAACATGAACAAGCCAGCGGTTTATGTTAACTTCAACACGTTGCAGAAAAACGATGCAACTTATACGCTCGACAACTACATCAAGTACTTGAAATGGAATCCGAACAAAACTGAAAAAGTGCTGGAGATCGGCTGCGGTCCAGGAGATGTGACGAAGGACATCCTGGTGCCCGCCTTACCGGGAAACGTCGAGGAATTGGTATGCCTCGACCGATCCGAAGAAATGATTAACTTTGCGAAAAATAACTCCAAACATGACAAAATCAAATATATGCAAATGGACATTTCTAATGACGATTTAACCAATGTGTTAGGGAAGAATACTTTCGATCATGTCTTCTCGTTCTACTGTCTCAATTGGGTGCAAGACCAAAGGTAAGAAGTTCAGATTTATCATTATTATTAAATAATAAATTACGATATTTAAATAAATGTTAGATTAAAAGTAACCACAAATATTTTGAAATTCTTAGGGAAAATTTTTATTTAAATAACAGAATAAAAATTACCCCTCTTACTTCTTTTTTCCATTATTGAATAAAAATAAGCAATAAAACGTTTTAAGCTACTAAATACTCCTACTACAATCATTTGGGGTTTTAATACTGTACAGGATATTTTATTCGTAAATTTCTGCAGTAAATAATAAAATCAAACGTTAAATTTTCTCAGAATTTGCAATTTTAAAGTATTACAGTACTTGTGACGGAATAAATACTTTTAAGTTATTAGTAAGTAATTTATTAAAATACCAGACGTAGATAGCGTTTTCGAACGAATTAGTTCCCATCAGCGCGCCATTAGCAGTTTCGATAAAATATTGAGATACTACAGTTAGCAGCAAATATCAATAGTGGAATGTTTGTGTATTTTCAGAAAAGCGTATAAAAACATTTACGACGTCCTAAAACCCGGTGGGGACGCTCTTGTCCTATTGAATGCCTACCATCCCGTATTCGAAGTGTATCACTGGCTTGCGCAGCAGGAAAAATATCATCTGTACCACAAAGAAACGGACAACTTCGTTTCCCCTTATTTCACAAAGAAACATCCCAAACAAGACCTGGAAGATATTCTAACGGATTTAGGTTTCATTATCCATGCTTGCGAATATAAGCCCCTAGACTTCGTATTCCCAAATGAATCCTATATTAAAGGTAAGCAAACAAAATTGCTTTTTCCCAAAATTAACCGACAAGATAACGAAATAATTTTTCTTTTGCTGACAAACCACAATTTACATTTTATAAATAGTTTATTATCTATCAATCAATGAAAAAAATCAAGAAATAAAAATATGGTCAAGTTTCAAATCACAGACTAAATAGATAATAATACTACCCCTGATAATTACAGATGACAGATCGAAAGGAAACTGCTGAATTAACAATTACAATTAAATTACCAAAAATAATAAGCCACCAATATCTGTTATATACTGATAAATTTGCTATACTAATCGTGGTTGACTAGTATGAAAACCCACTAAGGGCATTTCTACATTCCAAACATGAATTCAAGTATGAGAGTTTCAATCTAAATAATACGTCATCATTAAACTAATATTGGTTTAAACATTTACACAATTAAATTTTCCAGTTCGGGCGTCTGTCCGCAAAATCCATATCCAAATTTTGAACGATTTTAACATTTTTGATATCACGTATACGTATACAGTATACAGGTCAAGACCAGAATAAAGTAATTTTGCCTAGGCCAAATTTATTAATCCAAAGAGTGATAATGAACCAGTTTGACCTAATTCAGATTAGTTTGACGAATTTGTTGCAGACGAAACCTGATTTCAGGAAAACTAATTTTGCATAGGCCAAATTTGTTTATATACTTAAACGAAAACGAGTAAAAAATAAATAAACAATGGTAGACTTTTAGAACTTTTTTGGTTTTTTAATTCAGTTGACGGCGTTTCGTCTGTAATTATGAAAGAAATCGTCGGAGTAGAAATTAACGGGTTCTTTCCTAAACAAGTCAAAGGACTCATCATTTTCAATCAAAAAATCCATTGCGTTCATTTTTCTATTCAACTAAGAGGTTGAAAGGGAGCCGGTCGTCTTTTTTTTTATATCCGATTTATTATGATTTAATGTTTTCGGTCTCGTTCCAGGATTCTTCCTATCCGTAAATCCCTTTGTGGATTTAATGCCGCCGAGTGTAAGAGAAGAATACCTTCAGGAATTGGTGGATGAATTCAAAAGGAAAAAAATGAAGGGAAATGTAATGTCCTACGCAGTTCTTATAGCTTGCGTGCAGAAACCTGAACAGGATGAACCTCTCGTTTCTTAATCCCACCACAAGGATCTTAAAGGACAACTAGATGTTAGTTCATTCCAGAATCCGTACTGATTATTCTAATGATAACATATTTTTAATAATTAATTTAATATAAGTTCTGTATTATTACNAAATTTGTCCCTTATTCTAGTTACAAGTTCTGTCACCAGATGGTGCACGCTTATTTGATGGATTCCAATACCTACACCTAACTATGTTTAGAAATGTCTCTCTCTCTCATTCCCTCTCTTCCATTAGACACATTCAACACACTTACAAACGCACACACACACACACACACGCACATGTACACGCATCAATTAATTTAATGTAGAGGGTCTCACTATTCAAACTGACATTTCAGAAGAGGGATTTCGGGATTTGCCCCATTTATTTCCTTGATGTACGGCACTTTATACATAGTTGGCTTGTCGTCGGGAAGCGAAGGCGTCTTGATTTTCTCTCGCGCACAAGAAATTATTTAAACAGTCACGGATAAAAAGCAACATAAATAGACTAAAAGTTGTGTTTGAAAATATGTGCTTTTATCAAGCATTAAAAGTGACATAAAAAAAACTATTTAATATTAATAAAGTTTAGAATTATTCCTGTTTTGATCTGTAACTAGCCCATCATGAGTAAGAAAGCGTCCTACCATCCTAGCTCTTTATTATTTCTGATACCTACTCATTTCTAAAAACGTCTCTATCCATTATTTTTTTTACTCATTTCTAAAAACGTCTCTATCCATTATTTTTTTTACTCATTTCTAAAAACGTCTCTATCTATTATTTTTTTACATCATATCTCAAACACTTCTAACTTTTACCCTACCACACACCTCACCGTCCACGTTTCGCACTTTGGTAATCTTTTCCCAATCTCCAAATAGCCATTTCTGTGTAAAAAGCGATTTTTGACTCAATTCTAAATCATCTGATTTCATTGAAATCGAAAACCTGCGACTTCCTAATTGTCGTGTTCAATTTAGATATATCTAAATATGATGGTTGAATAAACCGAAACGTTACAAAAAAAATACAGTTGTGTCATTATTTGACTGCCACCCTGGAAAAAACTACATAATTACATATACAGTCGACTCTCGTTAATTCGAAACTCGAGGGACTCTTAAAATATTTCGAATTATTGAGTGTTTGAAATATCAAATGGTTCGAAATTTTTGAGAGAAAATAAATATTTTCATTTCTCTTTTTGAAATTTGTAAGCCACCCTTCACTTGCCGCGAAGTTTTTGATCTTTAGAGAAGACGCGAACTCTTTTGCTTTTTCCTTTAACAAGTTTCCGCTAATATACACATTTTTTGTTCTCTACACTGTTTTAGCCAAATGACCAGGCTTTCTTCTTCCAGACGAGGAAATTCACCTTTAGTAGTTCTTTTCCGTACTCCAGCAGTTTGAACAGCATAAATTTTCTCCTAATCCTAACAAAAACAATGGCTCGATGACACGATGATACAAATTTGAACTTGCCTCAAAATGTACTTACAATCTTTCTGTCTCTTTCTCTCTGCAACTATTTCGAGTTTTGACGCCGATGAGTTCGAATTAACGCGTCGTTTTGTTACGTAGGAATGATTTTTTTGTTCGAATTACCAAGTGCATAAAAATGTATTGATTTAGTTCGAAATATAAAGAGATTTTGTAGGGAACTCGTGATAACTTTGAATTATAGAAAGGTTCGATTTATCGCAGGTTCAAATTAACGAGAGTCGATTGTATATTAGTAGTTCTAGCTTCCCTACATGCCACTATTTTTGATTAACTTTATATTTTTTGCTTATAATTCATCCCACCATCGATTTCTGTAGTTATTTTAAGGGTGGCAATTTTCACCTTCTATAGAAGAGGTGGTAACCACTTCTAGCATACAAGCACACATTGGCACTATATAACTTGTGATCCTTGAGCTTTTCCGTACTTACTACCCAAATTTCACGTCACGTCAAAACCCGTTATCCTCTGTACTAATCCTTCACATAAATTATCAGAGTTTATAATTTTTATACTATATTTTATATATACATTTGAAAGAACTTGAACTAAACATAACTTTGCTTTCGAAAACACAATTTACAATAAATTTACGAATGACGATATTTATATGACTGCAAGATCCTTTTTCAGGTATTAATAGTTTTTAAATGTTATTGTTACTTAGCACATTTAAATATCCATTAGAGCAGTGTTAAAAAAAAGCGATTGTTAATACGAGAAAGCAAAGGGGATGAAATATGGCGAATGCGATTATGGTAAAGGTTCGATAACATTATAATGTCGAATTAAGAGGCATTCAAACATCACTTATCCTTTCCGCATTCGATGCGTATACATGTGTGTGTGTAATAAATCCAGCGGGCATTTGATAAATGGCTTGCTGAATTTTTCTAAAAATATCGTCAGCATGGTTGACAAATGTATATTTAAGATTTAAGACAGCCAGCCAGTTTTTCTCTTTTTCGCAAAAATTCGACTAACCTACATTCCTGTCAGAAAATAACATCCTATTGGGATCCGTCAAATGGGCATACACCATCTGGTGGCAAAATTTATAACTCGAATGAGGGAAAAATTTACATAGGAACTGTGCACGCAAATTGTAAAATTGTTTATTAAAATAATAAAACACGTTAAAAAAGTAAAAATTTTTTTGATGATGGAGTCGACGAAGTTTTCTTCTAAAGTTAAATCAAATAAAAAGTTAATATGTTCAGTGAAAAGCTGCAATAGCACTTCAGACATAGATCTTCACTCTTCACCTACATTAACTACTTTCCAATAAAAACTAACCGTTTTATATATGTAAAAAATATATTCGGAAAATTAGAGAAAAAAGTAAACTAATAGAAGCTTGGATGAAAGCAGTAGGTATCAAAGAAGTGAATTCCGGAATAAAAATTTGTTCACGTCATTTTAATGCACATGATTATATTTCAGCAAGTATTTACCATCAGCCATAACCTTAATATTTAAAACTAGAATCATACTAAAATTTAAAAAATGAGAAATTATTTATTACTGCGTAATTGATTTAACACAATTCTAATGATACGATATAAGTATTTTGAGGTTAAGAACCTACCTGCTGCAATACAACAAAGTTGCAATAATGTGTTTGCAAAGTTCTCTTAAATCGGCTTCCTAGGAATTGTATACAATTCCTAGATTTCATACATTTCCAATAACATATAGGTACATAAAAAATATCAATAAATAAAAATAAAATTTAGGTAGAATAGGATTTGTACTAAATTTCTAGACTAATTCAATACTACTTTTATAACCCTGTAGTATTGTTTAAGCGAAAAGCAGCCGATTTTTCCAAATCCTAGAATTATCCTTCAATGACTTCAAAGCAACGGTCGCAACCATCATATGTGTGTAAAAGAATTATATACACTGTTAGGATTACTAATTTAATTTGATCTAAAATTGCGGCCGTTTTTGCAGGCGGTCATAAATCATCTTTATGTGTGCCGAACGGCTAATATACTTGTGCTCGTCGGCTCGGTGCGTTAGTACGTAACTAAAAAGAAGTTTTTAATAAAGGTAGTATATGAAGAAGTACAAAATATTCGTAGCAGGTAATACTTCTAGGAATACAAAATTATTGGTTTGCTTCCCCCATCCCGATTCTGTATCCGTTTGCGTAGAATATGACTATCGACGGATTTTACAAAATACGCACTTCAGTTCCGGAATGTTCGTTTAGGAGACATAAATTGCCGATAAATTTTATTCAGTCCCGATTTTTCCTTAGAGACGATCCATTGTACCCTTTTACGGTCTCAGATTGCTTTGGGACGAGCTTTCCGCCACGTCGGCAATCTGTTCAATTCAACCGGCTCCCAATCGCTCAAGCTCAACCTTTAAAAAAAAAATTCACCTAAAATACTCCAGTTGCTGCCGTGTTCCTTCTTCCGGGTGTTTACAAAATAAAAATTTTCATATTCTACGAAATCAATCTTGTACCTATCTGACGTTCCTTATAAGCCACTGTGCTTTGATTAAGACTTATTATGGCTCGGTTTGACGCCTTATATATGAAAAATTTAGGCACCCCTGCTTAAGTCAAAAAGAGTTCAACAACACATTAATACGTTGTTCACTCATAATATGATACATTCGTTCAAAAGAATTTAATAAAAACGTTATAGACAAACTGTAGAAATTCATTCCATAACCTACAGAAAATGTACAATAAGAAATTACATTTCGAATCTTTTTTAAATAAAAAACTTCTTATTAAAACAGGTCCATCTCATTTTTTACAGCTGTTTATTAACCCTCGTTTTTGAGTTTATTAAGCTAATACATTAAATTTATAAATAGGTGCTATTTTTAAATTTTCTTAATGAATAACTTCAGGAAAAATCAGCAAAAATAATAATAATAATTAATATTATAGATGGTCGTTAGTCTCCCATTTATAATAACATAGTATGGTAGTAAAAGCAGAGAATAGCGCAGGGTCGAGTCGGCTTCAATAAAAAGAAGTCACTTCTATGCTCGCGAACGGTTAATTTAATAATTCCAAAAAGATTATTAAAGTTGTATGTTTGAAGCGCGGAGCTGTACGAGTGCGAAATATAGACGGTGGGCGCGGCGGAAAAAAGTTTAGATACGTTGTGGTGTTACCGTCAAATTATGAGGATGTTGTAGATAGAGAAGGTTGGAAATGAAGAGGTATTGGAAAGAATAGGAGAACAGAAGTATAGAAGTTAATAAAAATAGGCAGGATTGGTTGGTAGGGCACCTTCTCAGGCTTGAAAGTCTAGTTAGAGAGATACTAGAGGCAGAAACAGTAGTTAAAAGGAGTAGAGGAAAACCTAGATTAGGTTACTGTTCTAAAATAGTTAAGGATATGGGATGTTCTAGTTTTAGGGAAATGCGAAGATTAGCTCAGGATAGGAAGGAGTGGAGGTGCATGTCCAACCATTTTAGGACTTACAACCTCATGATGGATGATGATGGCAGTAATATGTGTGGGAAAAGGTGGTACCTGGGACTTACTAACTGTTCGCGAATAGTGGTCATGGAATTTTCGAGATATTTCTCGGGATTTTCTGAGATTTTCCAGAAAACTGCACATACCTATTCTAAATTT